TATAAATATAATAGGATACTCTTTTGCTTTTGAAACTATTGGAAAAAGCTACAAAATATCTTTCAGCATCATCCTATCCAACTTTGAGTAACTTTTATTTTGTTTTTCAAAGTATTCAAGTACATCTACAAAAATATATAGAAAAAGAAGAATTTATATAATATGTGATGATATCTTCGATATATAAAAAGATCACAGAATATTAGAATATTATGAATAAATCTTTAATTATCTCTACAATTTTAGATCCTTGAACAAAACTCTTAATTTTTTCAGGTTAGAAATCAGAATTCACTATTATTAATTTGTAAGATTAAAATACAAATAATTAATTTTTAATTTTATTTAGATGAATCACAAGAAAGTACTTACTAATATATTCAAGATATCTTTAAAATATATCAAAAACATTCTCTAAATATATTATTAACAAATTCACTAATGATTACTATTAATACTACTCATCAATATTTCATGTAACTTTGATAACAAGATATAATTTTCACTAATGAAACTCTCTCTATCAATAAAACTTTCTCTATCAATAAAACTTTCTCTATTAATAAAACTTCCTCTATCAATAAAACTACACTTACTCAATTATCAATATCAGAATTAGATCATTATCTTGCACTATAACCTGATAATGAAACAGACCTTCTTTTATAGTAATAAGTATATATTAAAGAATATCTAATCATAAGTAATATGACATAGAATTATCTCACAATTCAAGTAACAAGTATCATATCAGAATAAGTTTTTTCAGTTGCTGATAATACAATCATTCAAACTTGAAATCATTTATTACCTGAAATAGCAAGAGCATGCTTATATATGAAAAGTTGAATCATAAATAAAGTGGATAAATAAAAAGAAATATTTAGAAATAAAAAAGATAGATTAGAAGTAAGAAAAAGAATAAAAAGGAATCAGAAATCAGGAATAAGAAAGGGTAATTGGAAATAAAAAAAGAAATTGGAAATAAAAAAAAGTGATTAGGAAGAGAAAATAAGAAAAGAAATCAAGAATAAAAGAATCAAATATAATAAGAATTTAGTGATTTAGTGACTGACTTCATATGATAATATAGACTGATTAACCAAACCAGTTTGAACTGGTTCTATAGAATCCAATTTAGTTCAGACTGATCATTTGAACTAGTTTCACAAATTCAGTTCAGTTTAATTCTATTATCAGAATCAGTTTTCTAGAACTGAAATCAAACCAAACTGAACTGCTCTATCTCTATCTATCAATACTTTCTTAGCATCTTCTTCAGTATATATATATATACTCATATTATATGTATTAATTTTTTGTCCTTATAGTTATATCCATAATGAAGTAAAAATTGATACTCATCCATCACAATATCAATTATTTCCTCTTGTTCTGCTATTAATCTCTAAAAAAATTATTTATCTTTCTCTGTAACTGGAAGATGAATTTCTTCAGAACTGAAATTTATATATTTAGAAATCTGATTATATAATTCATAAGATATTTTTTCATTATTATGATATATAATAAAAATATATTTAATTTATTTTACTATATCATTATAATAGAATGATATTATGTACAAATCCATATATATAGCAAAATTTCTTTATTTTAAAAATTGCTAAATGGCAGTTATATTATGTGAATATGAGTAGAGACTCTATGCTCTTCATACTCATTTTTTATCTAATAATCTTAATAAACTAATATTATTTGTTAATGAATTAATATTAATTATTATTCTCTCAGATTTAATTTGAATTATTCTTGAATTATCTTGTATTATTTCTATTCTACCTATTTTGAAATAAAATTTAATTCATCAAATATTATCATTTCTGACAATTATACAGTATAGCAGAGCTAGACTTGAAGAGTTATTATAAGATAATAGTATCAAAGACACATAAAGTTTATTTATGAGTGAGAAAAATCTACAATTTCTGAATTAGATGATGGGTCATTGGGTTGAGTGATCTTAATAATGCTACTTTTACTTAAAAATAATATTTTTGTTAACCTTGAGAATATTACTTTTATTAATCTTAAAAATATTATTTTCATTAATCTTGGAAATGAAGTTATCATTAGAACTACTCATTTTTTCTTCCTAGTAATATACTTTGGAATTAATAATAGAAAATGATATTAATACTCACACTTATAAGAGAAAAAAATGAAGTATTTTATATCACCCAGAATCATTAACTTCATTAATAGAGTCAAATCTATTGCAAAAACCAAATACATTTTTATTATTTTCTCAGTTAGCTCTCTATGTTTACCTCTAATAATAAACTCCATAGCTATACTAGCACATGAGTACTAATTTTGATAATCTTCTACAAGATAATAATCGTGATAATTTGGAAAATGCTAAGTTATTATGATATAGAACTTTAATAAAGCTACTAATAAGAATTGATAAGACTATTTCTCATATAATCTTTTTAAACTTCTTTTATATTTTTCTTATCATGACTATATACTATAGGAAAAGTATTTATATATAAACTATATGAGCAGTATTATGTATTTTAAATCTATAAATTAGTAATTGATGTAGAAGTTTATAAAATATGTATAAATCTTTTTTATTACTATAGTTTGAGAAAATATCTATATTAAGTAAATATGCTTCATAATAAGAACTAGCAAAAATGAATCTCAAAAAGATAATAAGAAAAAGCAAACTATCAATTTCTATTAGTATATATAACAAGAGACTTATGTCATAGGGACTCAAAATCTTTGCAATCTCAAAGATCTATATGAATTAGCTAACTTTATGACTTACATAAATCAGTCAATTATATAAAGATACTAATCTTTCTAAAAATAAAGATAAAAAATTTTCACTTTCTTCTCTAGATTATCAGACTCTTTACAACTTGATATATAAAACCAGATTTTTCAATCACATTTATATAAAAGTATTACCATATCTTCACATACTTCTTCATTCTCATCATCAATTTCTATATTCTCTACTTTGATAGAAGAAAGATTAACTCGTATAATAGCAGATATTATGAAAGATCTAGACATGGAAGAACTTATTGATTATTTGTAAAGATAAAATCTAAAGCTTAAGAAATCCTAATATTTTAGGTGAAGAAGTATCTGATAGAGTTGATTATACCATAATAGGAATAGAAAATCTTTTATACATCATTAAGAATAAGTCACAAAATATTAAGATTAGTTATCTTCAAAATATAAAATAATTTGAGAATTTCTTTTACATAAACAAGAAGAAACAAACTGTGAATGAAGCATTTAAAACCAAGAATTATGATTATCTATATAGAATTATATCAACAGGTATGTGAAAAATTTCTATTATACTTGTCAGAGATAATATAGCTATGCTAATTATTAGATTTATTTTTAGATGTGGATTGACATTTTATCATATTTATTTCTGAAGGTATTTTTTGTATAAGCAATAATGAATATCAGATAAATCTTATGAAAAGATACTTAAGAGAAATTAAGAAAATCTGAGAGAGGATATAAAATAGGTAATCAGTATAATTATATGATTATTGAAAGATAGAGTAATTGTATGTGATGAACCTGAAAGCAAAAGGTGATATGTGCAAGAAAAATTATCAAAAAATAGTGGATAGATAGTTTATCCATCTCATGTATTTTTTATTATATTAGCATATACAAGTCTTTGGCTAATAAAGTAATCAGATACAAATAATCTTTTTTCTGATAATTGATTTTTATATGTGATATTTTTCTCCAAATTTATTTTGATATTTACACTTTCTAAACTAAGTTCAGTAATTTTTATCACATGATTTATATCTCTATGATAAAGAATTGAATATGTTTGCATCTTATATAAAATGATAGCAGATATATAATATATAATTATTTCACTAAGAGAATTAAATATCAAGCTTACAGTTGAGATTAGTGAATTAAGAAAGAAGTATACTGAGCTTGAAGCTAATAATATCAAAGTTAAAGCTAAGAATACAAAATTAAAATGAAACAAAAAAGAAGTTGAAGTCAGATTCTTGAATTTAGAACAGAGAAATAAAGAAAAAACTGATCTTATCATTAAACTGAAACATGATATCTCATTAATTAAGGAGTAAAGCTTGCAAAATAAGGATAATGGATGTACTGATAACATATCTGATGATGCAGAGTATCAAATATCTAATTCTTCTGTATCCTCTGAAACAAATCATAATAGTGAACAGATAAACTTATGATGTGAAGACATTTCTATATCTGATATAACTAATGATACTTCAAATTCTGACATATATTAGGAGACAAAGACTCAGCTAGAGATTGGTTCACATCAATGCTTCACATCATCAATTTGTATAGGAAATAAATCTTTAGAAGATAAAGTGATCGATAAATTTCTAGATCTAAAAGAAAAGAAAAGGATTAGTAATATAATAAGAGAGAAAAATAGAGAAAAGAAGCTTGAATCTCAAGATTCTTTATTATATGATAAAGATATTTCACAATATAATAAAAACAAAGTACAGAAATTTATAATAGAAGTTTCTAGAAACTCTAGCTCATCTATTAATAATAGCAATGCAGACAATAATGTGATACCTACAATCCTGAATGAAATAGAAGAGTCAAAGACTTAATACTTTGCATCATCTCAACCCAGCAATACTAGCTTCACATTTTTATATGAAAAACTTTGTAATGCTATAATTCTTGCTGACCGTAAAATCCAAGAAGCAATCTTCTGTTATTGTAATTTTGGTAAAGCTCTCATTCAAAGATGTAGTAAATTAACATCAGAAAAACAAGTTGATCCAGAATCTAATACAGTTAGTAGAATTTTAAATAAGGAAATTCACACTCAGCTCTTTGCAAATATTTCTATCACGCTTTTATGGAAGAGAATTGAAAAAGCTAAAAAGCTTTACAAACTTTTCAGTGTAATAGATATGGATAAAATTTCTCAAATACATTCCTTTTCCACTGATAGTATCTCAAAAATGACAAACAGAGATATTCAATATATTATAGATAACGTACCATTTGACTATAGTATTAAGATAGAAGAATCAAATATTCGATGTTTCACATCACCCACCCTAAAATCCGAATTCCCTGAACCGAGTTCAGGAAGTGATCAGCAAATTTCTTGCGAAAAAGAAAATAAAGATTCAGAATTTTTGGAAACAGAGGTAAGCACTACATTCATTCCCTCTGTCCCATTGTTTCATACCTCCAATTCGGAAGATATGATGAGTGAGGATAACAAATTTTTACTGGAGGAAGAGGTAAGCATATCTACTGGAGCAATTTCAAAGAATAAACCAAAAACTATAAATGAGGATAATAATATAAGTGAGAAAGCCAAATCTTTACCAGAAGAAGAGATAGATGAACCCAATGATTCTTTAGATTCTAACTCAGAACTCTCTGATGATGATGGGTTCTGTGGTTTTTCCGACGATGATGATGAAGGCTATTATTATGATTTAAGTACCGGTGAAACTTATAGAAAATCAGATCGTTCAATCTGCATATATTAAGACACATTTTTCGTGTAATCCAATTTCTCCATGAATTTCATTTCCCATTCTAGTTTCATTATAATGAATTCTGAGATAAGATAAGCAAATCTCGAGATATATAATTTTTTCCTCTTATATCACTATAATTAAGATGCAATATAGGTGCGATGAGGGTGCAATATAGATGCAATATAGGTGTGATGTAGTCACGATAAGCATTTTTTCATATATAATTGTATGAGAGATAATCCTGATGCGACTACCTCTGGCAAGTTAAGTAGCATTATCACAAGTATCACGATATCCTCTTTTTCGGAGCTAGAGAGGAAAAAGATAAATGATATGTTAAGAAAAATGTATAACAACACCATTTGATATCATTACTTGGCATGAATGCCTCGTGGATCGAGATGTGACAAGAAAAATGGATGACAACACATTAATGAATATATTTCTTTATCAAGGAAATAGCATCGCAAATACGCAAGTATAAAATACAATGATCACGTGATGGCAGAATTCCGAGATCGAGCTATAATGGCGCATTCTCGAAGTTTGGCACTTTTTTTATATGTAGTATTGCAAGGCATGGTCACTTTTTGAAAGAAATAATAAAGTTCTTGCCCATATTGGGCTTTATTTTTAACATGTGTAATTCTAGCATCGCACAGATCGATAAGATCAGATTTTCGGGGTGATTAGCAAATCAGATATATATAAAATTTTTTTCTTTACTTGTGGAACTACGCAAAAATCATATATAGTTAAACAACATGTCGCTTGATAATATTGTTAATACTGTTCAAAGTCTCTCTGAAGAGCCTAATAAATTAAGTGAGGATGAGGAGGCCAATTTATACGTATATCTCACTGACAAGGGTACTAAATTAGCTGATGTGGAAAAATTACTTAATCTCTGCAAGACAAATAACGCTAAGCTTGTATATTTGAAAGGGCTATCGAAGAAGTCTGTTTCTGGTGCGTCTGTCATACTTGCCAATAATACCGAATACTTATTCTTGTGCTTTTCTTTCCTGCTTCTTATCGTTAAACCCGCCCAAAAAACACATTCGCGTTATCGTAGAGGGTAAGTGAGTCGTAATAAATTTAGTCGACGCAAGTGAACGTGGTCCTAACTTTTAATAGCCGTTGTCACCTTTTCATTATCTTAACTAGTAATTATGTGACTGTCCTATTTTAATATTGCATGCAGTAGCACAAACGAGAGTAAAAATCGCTGATGCCTTTCCAGAAGGTATGTATTAAATAATTCTCATCTGAAACTCGCCATTCATATATTAAGGCTGACTGAACATACTATTTATATGCTAGGCTTGCCGTACTTGAATCCTGATCCTTTACTCTGCACTTCTGGTGCGAATTGGGAATATCAACCTCACCCATCTTTGAAGCATATTTTGCGAAGGGAGCTTAAAGTACATTATGAAAATTTTCTTTTAGGGCGTTTTGACAAAATGTCGCTTCCAATTTATCTCTTCCTTTCTGGAGCTGGTACCGGAAAATCTCGAAACGCTAGTGAATTCCATCAGACAGTGGTCGCATGTTTATCAGCTCAAGAAGATATGGAATTGTTGACTAGGATCAAAGAAGCTTGGGTATTCCTTGTCAGCTATGAGAATGGCACATCCATACGACCGGGAGAAGACTCTTTTCTGGGCGTTGGTACTCGAATGCTATCGCAACTTCTCAGGAAAAAAATGGGGTTTGAAAGTACTCGCCTCACATATGAGCCACCACCTCCATTGGGTGTCGTGTCATTGATCGCCAAACATCATAACCGAGACCTGAAGGATACTACAGTTATTTTGGTCGTTGACGGTATGCAACAGCTTATGTCCAATAAGGATGATGGTTTTAACTCAGATGCTCTGTTTTACCGTACTCTGTCAGCTATTGCAGACCTTACAGTTAGTGGCAGTTTCGTGATACCAGTTTGTACTTCAACAATCACTGGCCCGATTGAGGGTACGTTAAAAACCTCGCATCGGAAACGTGTATACTTACCGGTCACTTCTCTACAACCTCCAAACTATCGTCAAGGAGATAGCTTGGTCCCGGTCTTTAAAAATGATCCGATTACTACTATTCTTGTGGAAGACTGTGGAGGACATGGAAGGGCTCTAGAAATTTTGAATGATTGCTTGGTCGGCCGTAACATTGAGGAATGTAACCTTAATGATTTGATGAGCGATCTGCGTAGGGACCTTACTAAGAAATATCGTGATGCTATTTTTGGTTCTGTGGAAGACGCCAGGCCCGTTGCACGAGCAATATTGACCCGAACTCTCTTAAATTTATACAAACCTGTTCCCAATACCGAAAAAACTCCAGACCAATATGCTGGGTCTGGACTGATTCGATTCGAACACGTAAATGAAGATAGTCCAATGGGATACCTCACTGCACCGTATATCTGGCTCTGGATATTTGTAGAGATATCTCATGAGCAAGGAGATCCAATACTTCGAGATTGGGAATTCGCTGATTATGGAGAGCAAAAAGCATTTCTGAATCCTGTGTTATCATTGAAAGCTAAGTCATGGCAGAGTTTTGAAAAATTTGTCGCGTCATTTCGTTGTATAAAGTCAGCCGTGATCGAAGAAGATGAGCTAACAACGATCTCAGAGGTTCACGCGGGAGCGCGTTTGAATGGTGATATCCAATTTAAAAACCACAATCTACAACTTAAGATTGCCAGACACCAAACAGACACAAAGTCTAAAAATCTCACTACAAGTGAATGGAATGTGGATTGCAGTAATACTACCGTTGATGTCCGGCTATTCAAACATTGTATTATTAACGCTCCAGGTTCGCCATATGGTGATGCCTTCCTTTCATTAGATCAGCCGGGTGCCGAGAGCCCAAACGAAATTCACCAATACAAACTGACCCAAAAACCGATCAGTCAAGAGGTATTCGAACAAGAACATAAAAAATCAGCATCGGAAAATGATTTTTTCATCCTCTTTACGACTGCAGATAACTGCGTTATTAAACTTCCGAAAAGGTCTGGGATTGTAGATGGAAAAGTTTTTAGGGACTATTTTGGGCCATTTGCTGGCAGAGCATACAGGTCCGCTATGTCCGAGTCCAAGCCCGATAAAGTCAAGAATATCCCTAAGGTGAACATCAATACCGCTTCTCTTGATCAACTCTGTAGAGTGAATCATATTGGTAAAAAACGAGCGAAAAAAATCATATTAGGAAGACCATTTAAAAGTATTATGGACGCGAATATAAAAACGAAAATACCAACGAGTATATTAGAGAATTTTTATTTCAAAAAGGGCCTTCACACGATTTCTCGCATTCTGCCTCGATTCATGTAATTGCAATATTTAACAGTCAAAAATGGATGTCAAGCAAAGCCGATTTTTCGTTTCATGATTTTGAGGCTAAGATTGATAGAAATTTAAATGGAGATATTATTAGGAATCAATTTCTCGGCAAGATTTTAATGATGTCTAAGGATAAATTACTCGACGAACCAAAGCAAATTCAAATTCCACCTGCACCATCCGATCGAAGAAGGGGGGTGTCGGCAAATGTTATAATGGTTGTTTCTACCTCGACAAAAAATAGTCTCTTTTTTTTTCAGACTTCCTAATCTGTGGTTTAATAAATACTATGTGTATGTTACAATGTAGAGGTCTTCGACTTATAATAAAGATGTTTAATTCATATTTTCCTTCAAGTTGGTATACCACACTCTTTACAAGGATTACGTAATCTCAATTTCCAATGAAGAGCACAATCCTCTTGTTGGTAACAACCTTTTCCACAAATTCGACCATCAATATAAATATGTGGGCAAGAATAGAATGCCATCACTAATAACAATAACTTTCAAATTTTGCTTATATGAAATAATTATTTTTTGAATTAAACTTTTTATGTCGCTTTTATTATAAGTTGATAAATTAATGCATTATATACTTTTTGTCAGATCAAACAACGCGCATATACAAACAACACATATATACAAATCAATAAAATGAGTTTGTCTAGTAAAGCAAAAAAAATGTCTTCATGAATCATTATAACAATAGTGCTTAAATCAAAAGTCAGCTGAATATAATGAAGCAAAAAGGCTTTTTACAGATTTAATAGATCTTGACTATAAATCTGGCCATGGAAAACATATATTTTATAAATACTGGCTTGCATTTAATGGACATATCAGCTCTTCTAATAGAAATGATACTGCACTTTTAGATGCATATTAACCTGAAGAGATTCATTCTTAATATATAATTCAAATGGCAGGAAAAGGTTATACAGTGATCGATCATTTCTTTGAAGTTTATAAAATACCTGATACTCACAAATATATTGATGAAAACCAATTCTTATGCTTAATTATTGATATTGATGCAAGGCAAAAGCCTAATCCTACAAATTCTAAAGTGTCTTTCTTAGATGATAAAAAAATTACATGAGAAGATTTGTTATTTCAAATTTTAGTTACTTGTACAGATGCATTAAGTCTTATTTCTGATTATATGTCTTTCTTAAATTCTTTTGTCTTAGCTAGTTCATCAAATGCTGAGAAATATAGTTGGCATATTATTTATCCTCATGTCTAATTCATAGATTATAGAGAACTTAAGTGATTCACAAAAAAAGTTATGGAATTAGTTGGGAAATCTTATTTGAAATTTATTGATAATGATCTTGTCAAAACACATTTTAATCTTCAGCTTTTGGAATCAGTGAAGAAAGATTATATAAAAAGATCTGCTATTTCTTCAATTAAAAACAGATTTAATAATCTAGATGATTATCTGATTCAGCCTAAAGAGAATTATTTTGTAATCTTGTTACAAATCTTTTCTTCTGAAAAACTAGTAAAACAAGAATTCCAGCCTATTAATGATGAAAATACTTTAAGTAGAGGAGCTAATCTAGTTATTGAAAAATATGAGTAACTTCAGATTGGAAAAATTGGAAATAATTTTATTAATTTTCAAGTACAATTCATTAAAAAATATCCTATATGTAATATTAAATATGATATGAATCAACTCTATAGATTTATTCAAAAAAATAGATATTTTATACTTAAGTATTATTATCAAAAATAATACAAATCAAATCATAAGAATCTTAGCTTTGATAAGATATCAGACAAAGTAGAATTAAAAGTGAAATCTAAATTAGAATTAAATGAAAGAATAATTAAAGCTGTATTAAATCCTCTTTTACTTTCTGAATTATCTGTGAAGTTATTAATATAAAAAAAATGAAAGATTTTCCAGAAGCTTATTCTAATTTCTTGAGCAAAGAATCTAATATAACTTTGATTTGCTCTCCTATGATGATAGGAAAAATAAAAGATCTAAGAAAATATCTTAATTATTTAGTCAAGAATAAAGCTAATATGTCTTGTATCATCTGGATTTCTTATCAAAAAACTCTTAGTAATAAATCAATAGATAAAATTAATAATCTTAAATTATTCAGATTTAGAATCTGTAATTATCAAAATGAATAGAGTTTATCTGTAGATAAGTAAGATATTATCATAGTTCAAGTTGAGAGTCTCTTTCATATAGAATTCTCAGCCCATCTGATTATAGCTATTTTAGATAAAGTTAATGTAATTTAATATTAAATGAATAGTAGTTCAAATGCATAGAAATCTGAAAATACAATATATAATATATTAAGATTAGCTTAACATATTTTAGTCATGAATGCATTTGCAAATGAAAGTATACTAATATTTCTCAAGGCTTATCATAATGAAAATATCTGAGTTATTGATAATAAATTCTAATTACTTATAGGTAAGACTATTGAGTATCTTTATGATCTAAATAATGGGACTGAAGCTATACAAATTGGATTTGAATTTCTCAGACAAGATAAATATGTAATATTTATTGTAATAAACTCTAATATAGCTCAAGTATTAGTAAATAAAATTTCTAAATTATCTTTCAAAGCTTGTGTTTATTATGAAGATATGGATGAAAAATAATAAAAAAAAGATTTTTTAGATATTAATACTGCTTGGGATGAACTTGATTATATAGTTTATACAAATATAGTAGAAGCAGATATTTCTTTCAAGATACTTAATTACTTTGATATAGTTATAGACATTATAAATATTAGAATTCCAGTTAATGTAGAAGTATTTATTTAAATAATATTCAGAATTCATGATTGTAAAAAGTATATACTTTCTCTTTATTATTAAAAAATTTTTAGTGAATTTTCTTATTTATCAGGTTATGTGTAAAACTTGCAGTTATCCAGTCTAATAATTTATCTACAGTAATTAAAGAATATCATGAATGGGATATAGATAGCATTTCTTATAAACCTGATCAATCTTTTGCTATAACATCATTTATTGAGGTTAAGCATCAGAAATATCTCTTAACAAGAAATTTTATTGAGATTTTATATAATCTTATTGCTAGTACAGGAGCAAGTCTTAAATTAATAAAATTAGATAAAACTCAAGAAATTATAGAAATTTATAAAACAATTTATAATGAAATTAGAACTGAAGTATTAGTTATCAAGCATATAGATTTTGAGATAATTGTTATTTTTCAAAATTTTACTCTTGAGGAAGCTGAATTTCTTAAACTCAATTCAGAATATTTAGTTACAAATATCATGATACTTAAGTATTTTTATATATGAAATCTTTATGATAGAAATGATATAAGTATTAAGAATTAGAATAAACTCTGCAATAAAAATTTTATAAAATATTTTAGTCTATCCAAATCTAGAAAATATTTCTTATATATATCTTATTTTTACAAGCAAGATTATAATAAAGAGAGTATAATAGAAGAATTAAAGATTAAAGATATTGCATAATAAAAAAATACCTGCTATAATACTAAAGATAATTTTGAGAATTTGGCAATAAAAGATTTATGTAAAATATATTTAGCAAATTATTAGAAAGCTATATGAGAACTTTTATAGTCACTTGGTTTTATAGGTATAAATAATAAATATATTCTTTCTAATGATCAGATAAAAGTTATATTTAAGATATCTTGTGAAAAATTTATAGAAATTTGAAGTCAAGTTTTATTACTCTTTAGCTTTAGGTCTTATGCAAAAGAAATATCAAATCTTAACTTAGTTATAAAGGCAATTAATATAATTATTAGTAATTAGTATGATTATATTATAAAAAGTGAGTAAAAATTGGTAGAATCTAAAGGATAACAGATTTGAAAATATTTATATTAAATTAATCAAAGGCCATATAATAATCATGATTTTGATAATTAAAAAGAAGTAATGACTAGAAAGTTAGATAATTTTAAATATTACCTTATAGTTCTAGTTCTTTTATCATATAAGCCAAAGGTAAGTAATAAGATTCAGGATCTTTTTGAATATGTTGAGCATAAAATTTCTGATTTATCTAGTAGTATAATTGATGAAAAAGATTTATCTTTAAAAATGTCAGCTTATAATCAATCTACTAGTCTTTCTCAAGATAGATATCATATTAATACTACTATTAGTGAAGCCAGTACAATTAAGAAAAAAAATCTGAATTCTTAACTTCTTTAACTTTAGAATTTATTAAAAATAAATTGGATATAGATATCCTTATTCTTCTTTTATAATAAAAATTTTAAATATTTGAAGAAAAATTAGAATAATGATGAACTAAGATTACTTTTGAAATATGGGATAATCAGAATTACTAAAAAAAAGAGCGTAAAAGTATGAATAAGATTATTTTCTTGAAATATAAGCAAAATTTTGAAACTAAGATAAGTATACCTACTACTCTATATAAAAAAGAATTGAAAAATAAATCTTTAGCAATCATTAAATATATATAATCATTATAAATCTTTTAATAAAGTAAGCATAAGGTACTAAGATAATATCTAGTTTTAGTAGTAATTTCTAAAAAAAAAAGATTATTACATCTAACTAGTTATTCATCTCAGATAGGGAATTTTTTGTCATCTCTTACAATAAATAAGAGAAAAAATTTAAATAAAAAATTATTACATTAATACCTAAATCATATAAAGAGTTTTTAAATCATAATAGATGGATTTCTCATCCAATTTATATGCCTATCTTATTAAAATTTCATGTAAGTACTTTTGATATAAAGGTAAGATAATTTATTTGATAATTATTTTTATGTTACATAATTTTAATCTTAATATAGTTTTGGATATAATATATATATAGTAGTATACTTTAAGTAGAGATAGCTTATGTTAAAATTTTTGGACCACCAAGTCAAGTAAAAAATAGATATCAAAAAAGTAATACATCAAGATTATCAAAAAGATAATATATCAAAATTATCAAAAAAGTAATATATCAAGATTATCAAAAATATAATACATCAAGATTATTAAAAATATAATATGTCAAGATTATCAAAAATATAATCCAATTTTTAACATAAAGCAAAGTATTCAAAAATATTAATTATATAAGAAAGTATTCTAGAATCAAAAAATATAACAAACTTTTAGTAATATGTCAAGATAGAATATTATAAGAAAAAAGATAAGATAAATTTATGCTTTAATATATTAT